TTCGTTCCAATGGGACAAACTCCGCCTCTTTCTACAAATCTATACTAATATTACAAAGATTAAAGATTAGTATTTTTGTATGTATTGAAATAACTCACAATCAACTAGGCCGATTTCACAAATTCTTTCACCATTAGAACACTACGTTATCGCTGAGTAATATAGGCTACATTTTTAATTTCACGTGGACGAAGTCGCGAGCAACAGATAGTAACTACTAAAATAGCAGTGAGTGGTGCAAACTAAGGGATAGTAGCTTTTAAGATGAAACACCGTCAGTTTCCCCGATTGTACATGCAAACAAAACTCGTGATTCACTCTGATTTTGTTGAGGACGTTGTGTATATCGGAGGGGAAGGGTAGAGAATGCACGTGCATACAATCATAGTAGTCAAACTTTAGGGGCTTGCAAATTAGAAGACGCAGAACTCAATTTTTGGTACATGTTACATATTTACAGGCAAAGTTACTTGATGATTTGAGATTTTAAGGGCCTGTCCCACCAAATTATGTATTGTCTGATAACAATGGTACGTGTAAAATATGTGATAGAAATATCGGATTTTGTTCCCTTAACTAACAGTGAAGTTATTTTTAAGCGTGGTGGGACAGGCCCTTAATATTTTGTGGGGTCAATATGAACAAAAACCCGGTCTAAAACACGAGAGCCGGGAATTAAAATCCCACGAAGCTTACATCTTCTATTCTTTACTTTAAAAACATAAATACAAAATTACTTAGCAAAATCAACATTCATACCGGTTTACGACAATATACCGGACCCTTGTGTAACATATTACAAAAGATCTTTATAATAAAGGATTAAACCACAAAATCTGCGTCTTAATTGGCGTAAAGACGCAAATTCACTGCTTATTTTTTTTAATATTTCAAGGCACAAACATACAGTAAGAGACACAAGAATAAAAATAAAACTGCATACAAATAATCACGTAATGTAGACAATTTGCGACCACGCTGTATAATGAGACAAGCCATGTGTTAATGAAAACTCGTTTCTAATTTAATAAGCATAGGGTTCAAGATAATGCAGCGGGTGTTCAATTAACGCGGGCCGACCTTGCAACAGACGACTCCCAACACGCTAACTATGAGAAGTGGGTTAGCGGTGAGGCGATTCGCTGTGCAATGAAACTGAGAGCGGTACTTTGAAGTCTTTAAGTATGACGAAGTAAGTTACTTAGTAACTTGTAATGTACCAACTTATATAAGAGGAAGGGCTCGCTATTTCAGATAATTTTGACGCCACACGACCAAATATGCACGCACTATATTGCACGTCTCTAAGCAGTAAAACCTAACAGATTTACATAATTGGTAATATTGGGAAAATTAAGATTATTAGGCTTTATTATCAGTTTTATTATCTTCTTGTCAATCAAGTCTTTTTATTCAAAGCGAAACGAGAAGGGAGTCAAGAATTTCTTGTACATTACTTCCGGTAAGGAAACTTACGACAATCTTACTAATATTATAAACGTGAAAGTTTAGATGGACGGATAGATGGATGTTTGTTAGAATTTTCAGCCTAAACTGCCGAATGGATCTCGATGAAATTTGGCATATATGTTGAGGATAGTCTGGAAGGACACAGGCTACCTACTTTTGTTTTTTTTTTTAATTCCACGCGGACTGGGTCTCGGGCGAAATCTAGTATCTACATAATACTGAGCCCTACGCTACTCTGTTACCGTAATGCAACATATAGGGCGTATGAAAAACGAGCAATGCTAATTCAATTACACACATAGGTAATTGGATTAAAATAATCCCGGCCCGCTTTAAATCCAATTGCAATGCGATACCAATTTATTGGCAGTACGTTCAACGGGATATCGTTTTAAACGTATGTGTAACTGCTAAATATTTCATTGCACACTAATAAAACACTAACGAGCTAGTTATCAGAAATCCAGAAATTTCTCCGGAGGATAGCCGAGAGGGTTTTAATGAGTCAAGCCTTACATAGCTCTGTGGGTTTCCCCTGAGGGCAGGATATCTGTTGAAGATCTCCCCACTCGATACCAAAAAAAGATAGATTTATCAGAAGTAACCGTGAATTTAGATACTTGAACTATACAATTTAGCGATCAATCGTTGATCATTTAATCTATGAGACGAGTAAAATAACGTTCATAACCAAATAATGCTAATTACACGAAACAACAAAAGGCATATATCCACGACAGTTTATATCACATTGGCCAACAGTCCACCTAATTATAGAGTCATAGGTCTCTAGTTCATATCAAAATAATTATATTATAACGCATATCGTAGTACAATTATTATTGTATTAAATATTGTGAAATTGGAACACAATAACACACACTTTTAATAACATTTTTAATCGCTTCCAATCGATTATTTCGTTCATTACTCATTACTTGGGCCATAAACACGTGTAAAATTATACACAACTAGGTGTTGCTCGCGATTTCGTCTGCGTGAAATTAAAAAAAAACAATAAAAAATAAAGCCTATGCTACTCATGAAAGAATTTTTGAAATCAGCCTAGTGGTTTTATGAATAGCAGATATTATAACCAGATATTGTGATTGAAATATGTCGACTTAATATTTCGCAGAAATTATTAAGAGAAGACAAAAATATCACTAAATGCCATTGTAAATAAGATATAGTAGGAAAATAGCCTCTAAGAAATTTGTGTACGTAAAGTATGCCTCAATTATTTGTACGACTACGTCACAGATTATAAACAACATGTTAGTTCCACGAGATGTGATCACGCAGATAGTTCTACGAAAATTGAATTACAATCATGTGGAGGTTGAAGTCACTTTCAATTCTGATTCTCTTAACCTAGCCAGCAAAATATTGTAAAGAACTTGACTTAGAGGATGGCGATGCACAGGAAATGAAAATGTCCGCCGCACCTAAAGTAGCATTTTGTGCGATTGTTCCCAACCGTCACCTCGCTCTGTCCCCATGCGATAATAAAAAGTTTCATCCGTCACAACTTTACTCCTACTACTACCAATAAGTTGACAGGTGTAATCGTCCCCTCGTCGCCAAAGGGGGAACAGATGAAACTTTTTATTCTCATCTGTCTCCACGTGGGGACAGGGTGGGGTGACGGTTGGGAATAATCCCTTTCGTGAATGTCTATGCACAGCAGCGAACAATTCGCTTTTAAAGGAATTAGATAGCTTTCTCGTTTGCCACATATTTATTTTAAAAAAATCCGAGAACCTCCTTTTTAAGTCGTTTACAAATACTAAAGAATTTTTATTGACCTTGAATAAACGTAGTTACATCGTGTCTTACACAGAACTGCCTCGACTATAAACTAAGGCGATATAAATGGTACATAGTTTACTCATACTCGTATGTTTTGTAAACACGGCCGCTCTTCGGCCGCAGTTGGCGGGTAAATTTAGCACGCTATGACAGCGGTCTGAGGAGGCCCTGATATCTGTTGCAAGTATTGCCAGTTAATATATGTAATACTAACTGTTGTTCGCGACTTCGCCCGCGTAAAATTAAAAATAGTACAAAATATAGCCTATGTTACTGACTGATAAATTACCTTTCTAACGGTGAAAGAATTTTTAAAATCGGCCCTGTAGATTTTGCGTCAATCAAATACATACAACAATCCAAAGACACAAATCTTTCCTCTTTATAATATAAAGTACTAGCTTTCGCTCGCGACTACGTCCGCGTGGAGTAAAAAATCCTATGTGTTCTTCCAGACTGTTCTCTACATACATACCAAATTTCATCGAAATCCTTTCAGCTGTTTAGGCTACAAACTCTTACAAGCATCCATCCATCCATCCAAACTTTCGCATTTATAATATTTATATGACATATAATTATATGACAGATATAGATAATGTAATTGAAATAAATTATGGTATCATTTTTTTGTTTTTATTTGGCCGAGTCGAGTACAGAATTATTTAAATTCTAATGATAAATTCAAAGAGATATTCCGGCTTTATGACGTGAGTATTAAAATTTTGAACAAAAAACTCTCAGGTTGTAATAACTTGGTTCTTTGAAATAATCCGATAGGATCCTGTACCTTTTCGCTGAGTAAAGAATTCTCTTTTCGAAACCAACAAGGTATAAAAAATATGATATTTTGAAAAACGAAAACTTTCCTTAAATAACATCTCTAAGAGTTAGTAGTATTTAGTCAAAGTATTAGGAGCTATTTAGTCAAAATGCAAATTTTAAGTTTTTTGTCAAATCAATTTAAATAAAATAAGGCTTTGTTTTAATATTTTTTGCAATTAAATTGACAATTACTTTAACAATTTAAAATTTAATGGCTATATTATTTGAGTTTTCTCTCTACTATATTAATAAAATATGTATTAACATTTTAGAACAAAACTATAAATAGAAAAAAAAGAAATCCACTTTTTAAGATTAACTGTGAATTTACAAAATATAATTACTTAAAAAATAACAATAACAATATGATACTTCATCTATCACTACGTCTTTACGCAAACACATTGGGCTAGATATATGACGTCATACGGGCTTACATATTAACCACTCTATCCGTTTGGTTGGGTGTTAACGACCACGGACCGTCCAAAACAAACACCATAAATCTAACATTAATAGACTCGGCTGATACTCTAATGGAAAACTTTGAACTCAAAGAATTCAGCAAAGTCACTTTTACTCTACTTTTCCAAACTAAGTGAATTCAACTAGAGCGCTTTGACTAGAATATCGCACGACTATTTTGTCGCGCTTTGATTCCTAGAGGAGGTGCGTACACTACTCGATTTTAATTATGAAACTAAACAGTAGAAACGGCTGCGAAACAATTGACTATCGGACAACAGTTGTGCGATAGTTTAGGTGTTACATTGTTCAATTCTAGATTGGTGACATACTAAAGACATGCGTAGATATTTGAATATTTACGAAGCAAGTGAGGTGAGTCATGAATGCTTAAGCCTCATGTCACAGGCGTGAGTTATATTACTTACCAAGTTGAATGGATGCCATAATCTGCGAGGACTGAATCTTCTTGTAGGTGATCTCGCCTCCCTCACCAACTCGCCGGTGGCCGATCTTGCGATCCGATTTGTGCACTTTGCTGATGGCCCCTGAAGGGCCCACTGCCGGCTGTAGAAAGAAATTAACGTTTATTAAAAACACAAACTACTGAATATCAATAATTTACATAGTTTATCATCCATTTATGCATTTATATGGTACCAATTATATTTTCCAGTCCAATTATTGTATTCGAGCAGCAATGTAGCGAGATGTGCATAATGTAACTGCACTGGATTTTTCTATTACACAACCATGAAGTAAGGCGTTTATCACCATTAGAAGACACATGCTATCAGATAAACATCGTTCTAACCTAGTCATTTAATGGCACATCTTCGTTCGAAGACTGCGATGTACTACGATCAAAGCAAGAACGTTATCGTAAAATCGTTTTACGATGAAGGTCCTTTGACCTACAATAATTAATGCAGGCAGACTTATAATAATTAAATCAAACACACGCTAGGTGTGTACGAGGGTTTTATACATGCATCAAACTACAACATAAAGGAAAACTCGAGCGTCTGTAAACAAAACTGCTTCTTTAGACAAAGTGACTTTCGATTAGCGATCTTAGCGGCTTGTAGAATGGACAAAATGTGTCAAAACGTATAGGAATTATTACGTGAGAAGCATGTGTCTTCTCAAATGTTAACGTCAGTTTCATACATTTTTGACTTTTCGATCAGCGATAGTGATAATCGAATGTTACTTTGTCTAAGGGGACTGTACAGCGTGTTCTAACTTCGCTACGCCAGCAACCATTTTGCAAAAGTTAATTATTCGATTCTTATTTCGACATTTAGTCACATACCGTGGTTAGTATCTACCTACGTTACAAGTAAACATGAATAATGAATTAGGAATGACACAATTTATCAGCGCCACCCATAAAATCGACCAACAAGAGTATCGGCGTTAAATTTCATTATAGATAAGATTAGGTTACTATCACAAACAGTTGATGTCAAATTTTATTTATAACACAATTACATTATTGACGTATATGACATCCTGACGTTACAATATCAATTTCTGACGTAGACGTTACAATGACGCTGTAAATGACGTCACAATTACTACTATTCGATGTGAGGTCGTAATTTAGTAGGGTTGGTTTAGACAACGGACTCTTGTGACGTCACTAACAACCGTTTATAATATTGAATAATTTACATTTTGATGTATCTCCTAACATTGCGGACTGTACGGGAATAGTATAAGGTAAGGGAGATGATGGTGATATTTTGTCTTGGAGTAAACGAATCGATGAATAATTTTGGTGCGTATCGTTTTATGTATTTCCAAAATAAATTGTTAAGAATGTGTACTATACTTAGCCTCTTATTCTCGAGTTCAAAGTAGTTTAATGGTAGTCCTAACTTGTGTTAAAAATGAGGTTACAAATAACTATAAGAATTTTAGAAAGCTTTGGTATAGTAAACAAATTATATAATGGTACTTAACATAAATTCCAACATAAGTAACTCCAAGAATGAACATTTAATTTTAATTTCCACTTTACTGTACATATTTTTCCAAGCGAACGTAATACATTATGTAATTATAGATTATAGGTATCTCGATAAAATTACATAATAATAATTATTTATCTAGAGATATCTACATAAAAATTTATAGACATAAGATACAAATGTAATAATTGGAAAGCTTTACAACTTTTAATAGAATTCTATGTAACTTTGATGAAAATCTAACATTTGATGTTCTTAATTACTTAACTTATATTTCGAAATCGATACTCAACGACAATTTAGTTTATACGACTCTACATACAGGGTGTTCGGGAAAGACGTGTACAACAGATTCCTTTGACCCGAAGGAAGGAATCTGTGGTAGTCCATTGTACACGTCTTTCCCGAACATCCTGTATGTCGTCGTTTGTCTCTATAGATGTCAATACGCATATAGTTAAGAGACTTTGAATGTTATCCGATTTCAGAGTTTATAAAATAAATGTATTTTGACATTAAAAACCTATGTATAGACATTGGCGTCTTATGACAGATAATATTACTAATATTATAAATGCAAATGTTTATATGAATGAATGTTTGTTACTGTATATTTTCAAAACGGCTTAAAGGATTTCGATGAAACTTTGCACAGATATAGAAAATAGTCCGGTTGAAGTGGCGGACAAGAGCTAGTATACAATATACTATTGATTTTGCAGAAAGACGTCTATTACTAATTATTTTACGGCTCTTACTCACGTCATACTTTTTCCCGGTGGACCAAAGGCAAAGTTCATAATTTAAAAGCTTTCAAAGCCTAAGATAACAACTTTTTAGTCACATCTTAGTTCTTTGTAGGGTTCTAACCTGTTCTGAAAGAAAGGCATAATTTTACCCAAATTCAAGATTTTTTAGCAAACCTTTTGAGGTGAGTGGAAACCATTGATTGTATTAAGCCTATTCTAGTACAAAATTCTCAACCAAACTATATAGAAAGAGACAACAATAAATTGTACAAAATAAACGATGAATGACATCACACATATAAAAAACCAAACAAAAACACATCTGTAAGACTATTTTCCTGTTAGTGAAAAAAAAAGTTTAATACGAACACAATGATTACAATGGTTACAGGTAAAAAGAGAAAATCTAACAACAATGCGTTTGTTACACAAGTCGAGTGTTTACATAAAAAACAATAACCAAGATGTAATAAGTACCATAAAATATAAGAACTCTTGGATCGAATTTCATAGTACAAATTTTGCTATTAAAGATGTATCGAATACTATCGAAATCGACTCATCATCATCAACATCTTCCTTATCCTACTCCCTTAGGGTTGGCACAACAGGTTTTTGTCCTCCAAAGAACTCTATCATACGTCATCTCAGTCATCACTTCCTTTTTGATCATGTCACCTTTTATGCACTCCATCCATCTCTTTGGATGGATCTAGGTCTACCACTACCGGTGTACCCTTCCACACTCATAACCAACGTTCTCCTTGTAATATGCGATTCATCCCTCCTGCATGCTACATACCATGCTAACCTTTTGCTTCCTTACCATCTCTACCACTGGGGCTACTCTCAAACTTTCTCGAATCGAAATCGACTATAGACAATAACCCTAATAATTTTAAAAACACTTTCAAAGAATAAAGTGGCGACAGTCAAAGTGAAAACCCCTTAGAAACTATACTTCGAAACGGAAACACGCGTGGAAGAAAGCTGTTCAAGTGTCATACTCTGTTAGGTAAATGAAATCAACATGAAGCAGAATTAACCAGTTAATGAAATCAGGAAATACTCGGATAGTATCGCACTTGTACGGCAAACAATCAACGCTAACTATATTTTAACACGTATGTATGCTTTGTTTGGAATACAGACCCACAAGGATATCTGAGAACATAAGTAAAACTAAATTATTACAACTCACTAGCTCGTTTTATGACATTTTCTATGTTCATGTTGTACATATTTTCTGTCAGAAACAACCGAAAGCAGTACATCTATTACCGAGCTACATATTCTTGTTTAAATAATTATTTCATTGTCAGCAAATTAACATTTGACGGAAATAGGTAGGAAATTAACGCACTAGATTGTACAAACGAAAGATAATTCTTTTAAATTGCAAAATGCTGAGATATCCTCATACGTAAAAGTAAGATACATAGAAAAAAACATAACAGTGAAAAAAATCACATAAAGTTATTAAAAACAGGTATAGCATCTAAATTTTTTGAGTTAGGTACAACAAAATAATGAAGGATTCATCATCTTTTTCCTTATTCTACTCCTGTAGGCGCAACTGGTTTTTGTCCTCCACATAACTCTATCATACGTCACCTCAGTCATCACTCCCTTGATCATGTCACTTTTCACGCAATCCATCCACCTCTTTCAACGAAGTAAAAAAAGATATTGTGTTATTTTTGCATTGTGCAACAGCTTGTTTATGACTCATTTAATCTGCATACATATTAGAACACAATGTCCTGTGCATATGGCGTTATACTTATTTGTATGACGAACGCACATAAAACATGTACTAGACAATTATTTGATTTTAAACGTATTCAGGATTTAAAAAAACACAGTGAATAAGCATAACTTTTCAGCTTGGATATTTGAATGTCATTGTCTGGAGCCCCAAGTTATTAAGTTACTAATATTGTAAAACGAAGAGATTTACATTTTTGCATGTAACGACCAAACTTAAAAACTACTGAATCTATCTCAAAAAAATATTTTACGAATAAAAAGTTACATGAGTAGCCATGTAATGCTTGAGTAACCATGTTGCTCGCGACTTCGTCCGCGTGAAATTAAAAATATAGGCAAAATATGGCCTATGTGATTCAGTGGTAACGTAGCTTTTTAGGTGAAATTTAGGTGAAAGAATTTTTAAAATCGGCCCAGTAGTTTTTGAGTTATTTCAATACATACAAAAATATAAATATTTCCTTTTTATAATATAGGTATAAATGATTGATTACTTAAAAAATAAAAATTTACTCTTGCATTTTTGATCTTTCTCGTCCTAAAATAGTTACTACGAATACTAAACAGCTAAGACTGATTAGTATCTAATGATAGTTAATTTGTCCCTAACTATGATAGTGTAGGTCATTGCGTGCGAACAGACCACTAATAAAGAACGACCCATATATCCGTCAATGTCACAATACAATCTACAATAAGTGAAGCAAGTAATCTTGTTACGAGGACCATCGCGGTCACCCTTCATAATAATAACTAAGGGCAAATATGCCTGCGACATGCAAAACAATCAATACTAATATTATAAAGAGGAAAGATTTGTAATTTTGTATGTATTGAAATAACTCAAACTACTAGGCCGATTTAAAAAATATTTTTACCGTTAGAAAGGTAATTTATATGTGAGTAATATGTTTTATAATTTCACGTGGTCGAAGTCGCCTGCATTACTTTTTTTTATAATATAAGGTGGCAAATGAGCAAGCGGCTACCTGACTGCACCGAAATAGAAAGCGACCGCTGCCCATAAACATCCGCAATTGCAGATGCGTTGCCTACCCTTAATTGACAGAGG